AGGAGGGGTTAGGGGCCTAGACTCCAAATCTGAGGGAGGATGGACTGGGGACTCTGGCCCTCATCCTGGGATTTCTCCCTTTCTGCAGGGCAGCTGTGAGTGTGGACCCCTTCTATGAGATGTTGGCAGCCAGAAAGAAGCGGATTTCTGTCAAGAAGAAGCAGGAACAGCCATGACCCCCTGCCCCGAACTCCATTATTTATTACGGAGCTGCCCCGCCTGGGTGGCCGGACCCCTGGGCCTTGGGGCTATGGATCATGGTTCCCAGTTTGGAAAGAGCGCCATCTCTAGCTCCCCTCTCTTTATTTGTAATTAACATGCTGTTGGTAATCTTATTAATTATTTAACCACTCAGCCTGCTGACCCCCTCATTTCTTAGGGTTGACAGGGCTGAGATACTTGGCAGGGGCTGAGAGCACTTGCCAGTCACAGAGGCCTGGGCCTGCCCATTTTGTGGGCAGCTCACTGTGCTCCAGGGTAGGGTGATGCCTGAGTGCGGCCCCATAGGGCCTGTCCTGAACCGGTGAGTTCTAGTTTCATCCTGAACCCTGCAGGGATAGAGTAAAGGGAGCTAACTCTGGGTGTTAGTGGTTAGCTGAAATTGACCAATCCCAAGGGACAGTGTTTGGAATGCAAGGATCCAGGGCTTCACATTCATTCTAGAGGTTACCTAACAGCATTGCCTGATTACACTATGGCCATCAGCTAGTCCCCATCTTTCCTTTCCTGGGACTCATATCTTTGAAAAGCAGCCCTAAATATCTGGTGGGCTGTCGTTGTGCCCTCTGCTTTGAGGGAAAGCTAGAACTGGAAGAGCTATGAAGGTCCTTACTCTGGAGAAGGTAGCCCAGGTCCCAGGTGCAGCAAGTGCAAGGGTCTTGCTAATGGGATGTCCCTGAGTGGGCTAGGGCAATCACAGGTGGTACCCCACCCATTTGTGGGGTGGAAGGAGGGATTGTAGAAGAATGCTATTGAGCCAGGTATCTCTGTCTCACTGAGCCAGAAGCTGTGATCAGCCTCCTTTGGAGGACACTTAATTTCCAAGGTACGGCTGAGAACCTGCATTTTAAACATCTTTTTTCCCCAGGAACCTGACAGCCTCAGAAAGATGTGGACCACCTATCTGAAGGCGAAGTCTTGGCACATGGGTCCTGGGTTTGGGCCTGTGCCCTTTACCCCTCTAAGTGGGGTATGCACCGTGTCTGTGGAAAGGGGCTTTGATCCTGAGCAGGGTGGGTTGGTGGGTGGGGAGACCTCATGTCACTCTCCCACACCCTCTTTGAACAAGGGAGACCTTTAGTAAGAGGAAACTACAACTCAGCAGGCCCTTCGACTAGGATATACCTTTTTACCCTGAGGTGAGCAGTGGGAGTCATGGTCCCACTGTTGCATCTTGGAGTTGTTCAACCCCCAGTTGGATAGCTCCATGGGGTGGAGTGCTCCCAAATGTTGGGCCTGTGGCCACAGACATCACAGACCTGAGGGCCCCTGGCACAATAACACCACCACCTTGGCCCTGTGGCATGCAATGGAGAACTGTGTTTCCCGGCAGGCCATGGGACTCCAGTGGCATCTCCAGGGGGCTGATGGGCATGTAGTTCTCAACTGTTCCTTCTCAAAGGTTCCTGGGAAATGGAATCATTGACCCAAAATGGTCCTGGGCGTTGAGGTCCTTGGTTAATGGAGGGTCTCAGCACTGTCATTCTTCCCTGCCTGCCTACCTGCCTCTATAGAGAGGATGTGTAGTTAGGTGTGCAGGTACCATGGCAATTAGGGGAATGTGACACTTTAAAAGGTGAGAGGTTGTGAGCCTGATGACGTGGAGTCTGGTCAGCCATGGGAGGGACTTGGATGCTTTCTAAGTAGGATGGAAAGCCCTCCAAAGGCATGAAGCAGGCCTGCCATGTGTCTGGAGTGAGGTTGTAGGAGGGGCCTCTGGTTCTGCAAGAACAATTTGGAATGGGGAGCATGGGAGCAGGGAGGTACCTAAAGAGGCTGTGTAGGATGGTGTGACTGAGGAGATGGAGAGGAGTGCACTAAGTCAGATATCTTGAAGGAGGGGCCAAAAGGACTTGCCAGGTGGCTGGGTCAGCTGGTGAACAGTGATGCTTTGACCAAGATGGCTGAAGAGGAATATTTGGGGTGGGGATCAATACTTCTGCTTTGGCCAAATTAAGCTGTAAATGTCTGTAGAACATTCTAGCCAGATTCCATCACCTCAAACAGTGATGCTTTGACCAAGATGGCTGAAGAGGAATATTTGGGGGGGGGGGGATCAATACTTCTGCTTTGGCCAAATTAAGCTGTAAATGTCTGTAGAACATTCTAGCCAGATTCCATCACCTCAAAATTGAGCTTCAGTTTTGTTTGTCTACAATCCATCTCAGATTGAGGATTCTGGCTTCCAGCTCCCTCCTTCCCAGGACTCCCAGACCCCCAACATGGGTTGCTATCATTTGGATAGGACCAAAACTCATTGAAATTTGACCCCCAAGGTGGCAGTGTTAGGAGGTGCCTCATGGGGTCTGATCCCTCATAGATGAATTAATGTCTTTTTCCCAGTGTGGGTGAGTTCTCACTTTCTGTAATGGAAAGTAAGTTATAAGAAAGGTCTGGCTTCTTTGGTTGTCTTTTGCTTCCCTGTCCCCTGCAATCTCTTTGCACGGGCCTGCTCTCACCTGCCCAATCTTAAACCTTCCAACCAGCAGAATCTGAGCTAAATAAACCTCTATTCTTTATAAATGCCACAGGCTCAGGTGTTCTGTTCTGGCAGCCCAAAGTGGACTAAGCTGTGTGTAGAATTGTGTCCCCCCAAAGTTTATCTTAAAATCCTAACCCTTGGCATCTCAGAATATGATCTTAGGAAATAGGGTCATTACAGATAAAATTAGTTAAGATGAGGTCATTAGTGTGGGCCCTAATCCAGTGTGACATGTGTGCTTGTAAAATGGAGAAATCTAGACACAGACAGACACAGAGGAGATGATATGGATAGATATGAGGCAGAGATCAGGGTGATGCATCTATAAGCAAAGGAATGCCAAAAATGGCCAGCACCCACCAGATGCTCATGGAAAGGCCTGGGACAGATTTTTCACAACCCTCAGAAGGACCCAGCCCTGCCTCCAGAGCTGTGAGAAACTAAATTTATATGGTTTAAGCCACCCTTAATATCAGCCCTAGTGAATTAATGAAACACTTCACTCTTTTTTTTTTTTTTTTTTGAGACAGAGCCTCAAGCTGTCCCCCTGGGCA